TTCAATTACATCAACTACAACATCAAGTGTTTCCTAGCTTTTCCTTATCTACCCCAACCCCACATTTTGATAACTTCTTACAAATAAATGGGTGGTGCCCAAATTCTTTGCAATGAAAACAATAACTAGGAAAAGTTTCATAAACCACACTTTGTTTGAGTACCTTTTGGGAAGGTAGTCGTATAGGAAACGATAGTGGCGGTGGCTTTGAGACATCAACCTCTATCAACACTCTAGCATAGTCGTTGTTAATCCTCTCTTGGGTGATTTTATCGGTAGTTATTGGAACCCCCACCATGAATGCCACCTCACTCATGGCCTCATCATTCCATAATTGCAATGGTAGATCATGGAACTTGACCCAAATTGGAATTTTAAGAAATTCTTCATCTTCAAATGAAAATTTTTCTGAAAGTTCCTTGAGAATTAGGAGTTTCCCAAACACAATGTATGGTCCTTCATGTAGTACCCTTGATCTATCTTTCTCAAGAATATGAGACGAGTCTCGTACATACTTCTTGAGCATTGATACATGAAACACATCATGTATCTTCTTAAGTTCCGGTGTCAACTTGAGATGGTAAGCCACGGCCCCAATCCTTTCAAGGATTTCAAACGAACCGATGTATCGGGGGTTAAGCTTACCCCTTAATATGAATCGGATGATACCCTTCCATATGAGGCGTTTAAGATCAATTAACCTGACGCACAAAGCGAAGGCGCACATCTCACGGAAACAATATAACTTTGGTAAATTATGTTTATATGCTCCTACATGAAGGAGTCATCCCAAAAATGATATCACAAAATACCTCAAGTTGTCAAGCAATGATACAAGCTTACTGAACACCAAAATCAGTCACAAGAGAAACATAAGTTTTTAAAAATTTATAACAATCCTTTAATAAACCATTGTATAATCAATTCTTAATAACTAAAAACTAGCACATATAACTGTAACATACTTCCTACGTTTTTAAATAAATGCAACACTTTACTTTTTTGGAAGTTTCAAAATAAATGCAACATTTCCTTTTTAGGATAAAATGTCAGCCATTAAAGACTACCCTTTGCACCCATGTGACGTATTCTTACCCCAAATTAAATCCTTTGTTTTTAGGAGTATCCCACATCGTGCCAACCCTTCATCTTTCTCATATACTTCTTAAATTAGTTGCCCCACTCTATCACTCAGTCTCCTCTTCCATGGTCATCCATTTTTCTCACTCCGTTTTTTCTCGGTGCTATATTTTTAACCGTATTTCTACTTTTTTTGTTTCAACTTACATTTCATTCATTCTACTTCTTCCATTTCTTTCTTTCTACTATTTCCTTTCCAAGTATGTTTTTTGTTCTTACAGCCGTAGAAAATCTAAGAGCCAAATCTGTTGACTCCGTCTGCGCTTCTCATGATTCCTCAACTGATATGCTAAAAACGTTAGAATTTCGGAGAGACCAACCTCGGATGAACTCGATTGTGGATAAAATTGACGAATTAGAAATTGACGATAACAAAGTATCAGAATGAAGAATCAAAAGGGTCCTACAAGACTAAAAGCCTAGAATGGAAATGGAGTAAAACTAGAACCACAAAAGCAGCAATTACTGTAGTATTTGGTCTAGATTAAGAGGTGTCATAATAGTCGGGTCGGGTAATTGTAACTGATTGGGCCGAGTAACTAGTGTGATCGGGCCGGGTAACTGTAAATGGTCGGGTCGGTTAACTGTAACTGGTCGGGTCAGATAACAATAATTGGTTGGGTCGGGTAACTATAATTGGTTGGGTCGGATAACTGGTCGAAACGGGTAATTGTAACTGATTGGGCTGAGTAACTAGTCTGATAAGTTAACCGGTCGAAACAGGTAATTGTAACTAGTCAGATCGGGTAACTTGTCGAAACGGGTAATTGTAACTGGTTTGATCGGGTGATTGTAACTGATCAAAATGGGTAATTGTAATTGGTCGGATCGGGTAATTGTAACTGGTCGGGCCGGATAACTGGTCGGATTGGGTAACTGTAAGTCTGTAACTTATCGAAACGGCTAAATGTAACTATTTGAATCAGATAACTGTAACTGATCAGATCGGGTAACTGTAATTGATCGGACGAGTAATTGTAATTGGTTGAATTTTTAATTGTAACGTTTTTTTTTGAAGAATTTTAATTGTAACTTATGGGGTCAAGGTAATGGTAAATGATCACCTTATTATTATAATTGAAGAATAATATAAAAGCAAATAAATAATTTTTGGGATAAGGGTCAGATAGGGTCTCGAACTTGAAAAAAAATGTCAAATAAGGTCATAATAATAGTACAATGAACTTCGGTCGGGTCGGGTACTATCGGGTTTGAGATTTTAATTCCGCAACCCTACCCATTAGGTGCGGGTTCAAACATATTTAACCCATGAATATTTTTTAAAATCAAATACCCAATTAAATATGGTCGGGTAGGGTTGGGTCGGGCGGGTTATACGGGTTCGGGTTATTCTTGTGCAGTCCTAGTTGTGATGCTTTATTGTTTATATCTTTCAAGGGTGTTTGGATCTGATTCCTAAAACTGCTTCTGCTCCTTCAGAGAGTAGAAGAAGAAGCTGGAATGTTTGGGTGAAAGTGCAGAAGTGATTCTAGTGATTTAATTTGCTCCTAGAATCAGTTTTTTAGAAACTAGGGGAAACCAGCTTCTGGAAACTAATTCTGATACTGCTTCTACTTTAAAAAAGAAGCAGAATCCAAACACCCCCTCAGACAAAATCATTTCGTAACTTCAACAACTCAATCTCACAAACACTAAGAGAGTGTTTGCAATTGCTTCAACTTTAAAAAAGTGATTTTTTAAAGTGATTTGGGGAAAAGTGATTAATAGTAAAAGTTGGTAGTGTTTGAGAAAAAAGTGATTCTGAAAAAGTAATAGTTGGTAGTGTTTGGTAAAATAAGTACTTTTTGTGTAATAAAAAAAGTGAAAAGCAGTTTAAAGCACCCTTCCACCTGCTTCCAGCTTTTAGCTTTTAAGTGATTAATTTAAGCAGAAGCTGTCATTTAAAAACACTCTTTTTAACTTTTTTTAAGCCAAAAGCTGAAAAGTGCTTTTTTTAATCAACTGCAAACACTCCTTAAATTCCCTAAAAAAAATCTCACAAAACACTAAGGAGATGTTTACTTCACTGCTAAAGTCACAGTTAGGTTAGTAAGACAGGTGAAGTAAACACGCACACTGCTTAAAAAGCCGCTTACTAACTGAAAGAGGTGCTTAAAGTGCCGCTTATTAAGCATACCACCCCTCATGTATTAATTAAGCGGCACTTTAAGCTTTTTCAGTTTCCGAATTTACCCCTTGCCCTTAACCTATTGTTATCCCTGCCCCACCTCGACCCCAACCCCACCTACCCCGACCCCACCCTACCCTTACCCCACCTACCCTGACCCCACCCTACCCCCGACCCCACCCTACCCCCGACCCCACCCCACCCTACCCTTACCCCACCTACCCTACCCCATCCCGACCCCACCCTACCTACCCCACCCCTACACCTACCTAACCGACCCCCACCCTACCCTTACCTACCCCGACCCTACCCCTACCTTACCTGTCTGACCCCACCCTACACGTACCCCACCTTACCCCTACCCTACCCCATTACCAGACACCCCCCTACCCTACCTAACCGACCCCCACCCTACCCTTACCCCACCTACACTACCCTTACCCCGACCCCACCCCTACCCTTACCCCTACCCGACCCCACCTTACCCCTACCCATACCCTGACCCAACCCTACCCTACCCCATCCTACCCCTACCCGACCCCACCCTACCACTACCCTACCTACCCAATCCCACCCCTACCCTACTTACCCGACCACACACCTACCCTTACCCTACCTACCCCACCCCTTACCCACATACCCGACCCCACCCTACCCTATCCGACCCTACCCCCGCCTCAACCTCCACCCTACCACTACCCTACCTACCCAACCCGACCCCTACCCTACCTACCCGATCCACCCTACCACTACCTGACCTCAATCACCCCACCCTATACCCCTTACCCCACCCCTTACCCCACTATACCTAGGGTGGTGGGGTCAGGGTGGGGCCGATGTGATAGAGGCGCTAGGGGCATGGTAGGTGTGGTGGGGTAGGGGTAGGGGGGTGGGTTGGGTAGGGTAGGGGTAGGGGCGGGGTTGGGGTAAGGTAGGGTAAGGTGGGGTCGGGGTGGGGTCGATGTGGTAAGGGCCTATGGGGTCGGGGGTAGGGTTGCGGTAGGGTGGGGACATGTTAGGGTGGGGTCGGGTAGGGGTAGGGTCGGGTAGGTAGGGTGGGGTCAGGTAGGTAGGGTAGGGGTAGGGGTAGGCGGTGGGTGGGGTCGGGGTAAGGTAGGGTGGGTAAGGGGTTAGGGGTATGGGTACACATATTATATTATATACTTGTGTTCATGAATGTTTGTGTGTATATATATATATATATATATATATATATATATATATATATATATATATATATATATATATATATATATATATATATATATATATATATATATATATATATATATATATATATATATATATATATATATATATATATATATAGGGTTATTTTGTACATTTTAATGTTAAGCGGTGTTTTAAACCGTTTGAAGTAAACACGGTCTTACAACATTGTTTATTTTATGCACCGCTTATTAACACGGGTCTTAATAAGCACCGTTTAATAACCGGTGAAGTAAACATGTCCTAAAAGTATATTCATAGCTGGTATTGACATGCTTACTTGCATATATGGTGACAAATGAATTTTCGAAGATCAGCTTTTTAAACATTCCAAAAGGAATGCTTTAGTATTTGTCACTCGGGGGAGGCGAAGGTCCGAACTGTAATTTTGCTTGGGAAGTTATGTCCCCTCTTTCTCGGGCAGCCTTCCGGTTTCATCCATAAACCGATAAACGGCTGGATATATCATCCCTACGCCATCCCGTCTCCTTATCATCCATCACGTTATCTCACCAACGTCTTCAGTATTTTCTCCGACTTCGTAAAATTTGCCCAAACCCCTAAATCTATATTTCCAGCAGTAACCTTAAGCATGTCAGATAGTTTAAGGCCGAATCTCGAAGAATTGGAGGTAGATAGGGAAGTAGATGATCGTGTATTGTTCCCGCCCGAATCTGATTTTTCCGAGGTGTGTTCTTGCATCGATTGTTCTGCGAAAACAGAGGCGCTTAAGGCATTTGAGATAGATCTACGGTCGAAAGACACCATAGTCTTGGTTGGTAGAAAAACACAATCAATACCTTAGGCTTCTCTGATCATAGTGATCAATTCATTCATTTGTATGTTTTCCTTTTGAATTTGTATTCAGGAACATGAGAACCAATTGCAGCCAGCGATTGTGGCCTGCATGGCCCTCTCTGCTGCCTCAGAATGGACGAAAAACATGTTGAATCGTCTTCATGATGACCTGAAAAGACTATACAAGGTATACTGATTCCATTTAGTAGTGTTATTTAGGGCGTAAACAAATTTCATACTCCGTAATATATTGTATTTCATTTTTTTAGGAGTCAGGAGTCTCATGGACACTCACAAGAAGTAAATCTGAAGAGGAACTGAGAGATGTGGATATTAAAATTGGTAATATGATGTTAGATAATGGGCTGATAAAGGAAATTGTGACTCCAGATGGAAGTGAGACCGATGTTTTTGATGATAGGCCTCTTGTGCGCGTTATCCATTTTGGGGTAATAAATTAGACTGTAGAGTTTTAAATATACTTCGTATTTTAGAAAGAGATATAGGCCATGTTTGGCACACAAAAGCTTCTGCCTTCTAGCTTCTCTTTTCTTTAAAAAGACCTTAAAAGACTCTAGTTGTATGTTTGACATGACATTTTTTAAGAGCTTTTCAAAAATTAAAAGATCTTTTTTGAGATGCTACCGGGTGTAGCATCTGAGAAAAGCTCGTGACTTTTAGTATTAATTAGTCCTAACAGCTTGTATACCAAACCGAACTAAATCAAACAGTCAGCTTTTTACCAAACAGCTATCATCTTTTCTTTTTAAGATCTTTTCAGTCACTAAAAGCTAACAGTTACTAAAAAGCTCACAAAAGTATCTTTTCAGCTAGTTGTGCCAAACATACCCATAGTGAAACATCTGAATATCATATAAATGTTTCTTCTGTCAGTGGCTCTAGACTACATCTTGTCATCCAAGTGTTAGTCTTTTCAATCATCAACCTTAGCCATGTTAACCTTGCATCTAAATGTGTTGAGCACAGATTTCTGTCCAAAAAAATTGTAGCAATTCATTAGTTCTGTAACTTATCCCCATTTCTACTCAACATTTTATATGGTTATCTGTGGTTTTGTGGATTCTCTTTTCCAGATTATTTGGTATGCGGATACCAAATACAAGGATGCAGCACATGACATTCTCAAGAAGATTGAAGAGATTGAAAACCAACATGAGCAAGATAAGAAGTCTGCTGCTGAAGAAGGAAAACCTCTAGACTTTTCAATCTCCAAGAAGCACATTAACAACCAAATTAATGTTAAGTCATCTAGCATTCAACCCCTTTTTTCGGTTTTTGCTTAAGTTGTTTCTCTTATTACAGTAACTATTATGTCCACACTATTTGCTTCAATCCCTTTATTCACTTGTTTTCCTATGTTGCTTCTGATTGGAGTAGTTATCATGTCTCGTTTATAATAGTTGTTAAAGATGTTGCCGGTTGGTGAGATGTACCAAGATTTTCAAAACCTTGTGCACATAGCTGCCCGCAAGCATGTAGATTTCATCTTAAAAGCTGAGAAAGAAATAAATGAAACATATCGTTCTATGATTGTGATTCGAAGGCAATTTTGGAAACATTATCAAGAGGTAATGCATGTGTGTAAGTGTGTCTTCTTTTGATAGCAGAATTATCTTAGTAATTATTAATGGGAGAATTTGACTTTGCACCCCATGTTTTAGGCCATATTGGACTTTGCACCCCATATTCAAAATCATTAATATTTGCACCCCATTAGCTCAAAAATTGTGAAGGAGTGGGGTGCAAAGTCAAATGATTATATAGTGAAATAGGGTGCAAATATTAATGATTTTGAAAATGGGGTGCAAAGTCCAATATTAACCAAAACATGGGGTGCAAAGTCAAATTCTCCCATTATTAATTTAATTGCCCTTTTTCATTGGATCTAACTTTAAAGTGTGATGTGTTCTTAGATTGCTTCCTTCACAAGAAATGATGACAAAGAGAAACACAATTGGAGTGGGTTGGAAGAAACACTTGATTCATTAGCCAAGAAGGTTTGTTGAAGTTATATAGCATTATCATTTTTCATATATTCATTATTTCTAAATGACTAAATCTCAAGTGTCTCCAATGGATCTTAGGCTGATTTATTTAAAGAGGCGTGGCAGAATGAGTATGAACAACACTTCGGTCCATCTAAAAATCAAAAGACAATGCAATGAGGGGAAGCGTTCTATGGCAGAAAGCCTTCTACTCTTCTAACTATGATTTAGATTTTTTCCATGGTTTTTGGTAATACTGTAATACTTCATTGTGCTATGCTGCAATTCTCGTGTAACAGTGCCATTTTCCTCACCACACGTGCTGCAATTCTATTTTCCTGTCTTTTAATAATCTATTTCCCGTCAGTCCCGTGTGCTGCAATTGAGTGTTACAGTCTTAAGCTCTTTACAGTTAAATCGTGAAAACTAACTAGTTCTGGTGGAATATATCGAAAACGAGATCAATAACTGCTGAAATATATTTGTTCTGCTCATTAAATGGAATTGGTTTTATGTTAGAAAACCTAATCTGCTATTAATACTCCCTCTGTTTTCAGTTATCTATTCCTATATAGAGTTTTGATAGTTATTAAGGGAGTGTTTGCAACTGCTTAAAAAAAGCACTTCTCAGCTTTTGGCTTTAAAAAGCACTTATTTACCAAACACTACCAATTTTTACTTTTTCTCGGCTTGCGTGTGAAAAGTGCTTTTCCCTTTTCTATTACACAAAAAGCACTTATTTTACCAAACACTACCAACTTTTACTTTTCAAAATCACTTTTTTCTCAAACACTATCAACTTTTACTATCAATCACTTTTTCATTACTTCTCCAAAAGTGCTTTTTTTAAAGCAGAAGCAGTTGCAAACACTCCCTAAGTTGAAAACAATGAAGCTAGTGGATAGCAGGGAACTGATGATGAATAGGTTGAAAAAGTAAGAAAGAATAGGTGAAAAAGTAAGGGTCTTTACCTCAAAGCATAGGTAAAAGTTGGGATTGAAGTGTCCAATATGGGAATAAGTAAATAAATAAAAATAATAATAGATGAATTATTACCAAAGCATACTCAATTGATTTTGGTTCTAGAATAGTACGGAGTAGTTTTTTATATCAAGGACACCACAATTTGCTGTTATCACGTACTCAAATGAGTTTTTATTTTTATGTTCTTGTTATGCAGATTTATCTAGGGGATCATCTTACATTTAAGTAGTCTTTGTGCCAATGACCTTTTAGTGGTAACTCATTTGTTTCTCCCTGCCGGCCTCGCTACAAATTCTGCATCACAAGGGTCATTCTTTCCCACATTTTAGATTGGTGAAATATTATGAATTATGATTATGATTTCTTGAGCTGACACATACTTAAAACATGTACGTAATTTGAAGGCTCTGTTCAAAATAAAATTTGAGGCCCTTATATTTAATTTAAAAAATAATACCAATAATACAATAAAAAATCAAATTTTATAAAATGCAATTCTACTTGATGAAGCACCAAGAGTATCAAAATTTCATTCAAAATTTTGAACTTAAACTACACTAATTTAAACAATGCTTTCTTTCTATAGAATTTGAAATAAAATCTTCAATATGCCTTGATATGCAACTTTCTTATGTAGATCCCTCTCAATTGCTACTAAAGCAAATCCATTGAGTGTTTCCAACGTTCTCCATATGTTGGGAAATAATTCCGAAAGGAAACTTGTGATATGGATCAATAAGGAGGTTAAAAGAACATATATGGAAAGTATTTCAAACATGAACAATGGTCTTCAAATAATGATGTCAATAACGAAGCTTAGCATTTGTACTTAAAAAATTTGTACATATACATATTAGTATTTGTACTTATAATACTCCTTAATAGATATAATATTTATTATCATTTTTGTTTTGATTGGTAATTAGAGAGCAAGAACTAGCAAAATTAGTTTAACTCAAAAAATTAATTACAAAAGGTATAACTATGCTTAAAGAGGAGCAAACATAAAGCTCTACATGGTCCGATGGGAGAGGCTCCACTATTTCGCATTGAGAACTAAAAATCGACTCCCAAGTCCAACTGTTTTTCAATTTATAACCAGATTTTTACTCATTTCTGGACCCAATCTGGATTGGCCCAAGCAAGACGCGCTTCACAAATAGCACCGGGTTGGGCCAATCAATAGAATATTGTCGGCAAACATTTTGTACCACGGTATATCGTCATGAGTTTACTTTGTAAGTTCATCCATGACTATGGCAAATAAGAAAGGGCTCAGAGCCGATCCTTGGTGCACTCTGATAGTAATAGAGAACTCCGCAGTCCTCCCTACACTAGTATAGACACTTGTAGTACAATCCTCATACATGTCCATGATGACGCCGATATACTTGCGTGAAATGTCTTTTCCAGTTAAAGCCCATCATAGAATTTCTTGAGGTACCCTATCATATGCCTTTCCTAAGTTAATGAACCCTAAATGCAAATCCTTGTGAACGTCTCTATACTTCTCCGTAAGTTGCCGAAGAAGGTGAATAGCCTAAGTTGTTGAGCGACAAGGCATAAAACCGAATTGATTCTCTGAAATCTTTACCATTCTTCGAAGTCTTTGCTCAATCACTCGCTCCCAAAGTTTCATGGTATGACTCATAAGCTTAATCCCTCAATAGTTGGTACATTCTTGTACATCACCTTTATTCTTAAATAAGGGAATAAGAGTACTATTTCTCCAACTCGTTGGCATCTTGTTGTTTCTTCAAATCTTGTTGAAGAAATTTGTTAACCACCCAATGCCTCTCTCTTCCAAACTTCTCCAAACCTTGATCGGTATGCCATATGGACCCACTACTTTCTTCCGCCCCATCTTCCTTAGAGCCTCAACTTCCGTTGTTTGGATCCTTCTCACAAAATCACGAATTTCAAATATGAATTTGTTGTTGTTGACACTATTTTGACACTATTTGGACACTGTTTGCATTGTTTTGCACTGGTTGACACTGTTTGACAATGTTTTGATGTAGATAATTTGTCAAATAAGAAAATGTATTGAAGTGAGAACATAATTTAGAGACTGTCCAAAAAGGAAAGTGAGAACTTAAGTGGAGGACAAAAAGGGGGACAAAAAGAGTATCATACAAGTTGAAAGTGCTCAAAGTGTGAGAGTCATTGTACTTGTTTCCACCAGCAGACACTTTTTCTTGGATAGGACCAGCTTCTGCTTGAGGTTCTGAGGAAATTCATCAAAGTTACAATGGGATATGATACCGATAACTAAAGAAGAAATTAAATTAGACTCCGTAGCAGAATAGGGATAATCCAACTTTAGCAAGTGTCCTGTACAATGTGAGTGTCTGCTGCTTCTTTACATCCTTACGGTTTTGCTTGATCGATGCATTCATAGTGTTCTATAAAGCTGAAAGTGTATTTGTGAAAGTTTGATTGTTCTCAAACTTTGGAAAAAAGTAGCAATATTAATACAATTAGTAGTGCCATATTAACTGCTCTCTATATTCTATTTATGAAACTACTACGTATGTGAGTAAGAGTGATGGTAAATTCGTGACCTAATGATAATACAATTAGTATTGATAATTAAAATGAACTAATTTAGGAACTAAATAAAAACACTTATTGAACAGCAAAAAGAAATTAAGTTGACAGCGGGAATATAGTAAATGTGAACCTTATCCGGGACAGATGTCACGGGAGGTGTTCCTTAGTGACGGTTGAATTGAAGCGAGCATCAGTCAGACGAAGAGAAGAGAAGCAATAGAAAACAGGACAGTCCATTTCCGTAAAATAACATGGATATGGATGTGAGCTCCGGAAGAAGAAGCAATCCTCCACAAAAATTGTAGGAGTGGCCATCCGAGTGAAGAAGAGAAGAGAAGAGAAGACGGTGGAGATGAATGAAGGCGGAAAAGAGGAACATATCAATCGAATGAGAATTGAGAACGGGAATGAAAGAGAGTGAATGGTTCAGACATTAAAGAGAATTGAATGGTTAGGTAAGAAACCGAAGAAACGGATGGTTATGTCCGAGAGCTAGTAATGAGTAATTAAACTAATTTAATTATAATTATTGTAAGATTATGAGAGAGAAGCGGGAAATCTTTTGGAGAAATGGATTTTACCTTTAGGTATACTAGTAGAACATTCGTGCGATGCACGGTTGGTGAAATTTTCACACGTTTAATCATTTTTAGTCAAATTTGGAATAAAGAATAAACTTGTAATTCTAAATGAATCATTTAGAATAAAAAAAATAACGGTTTAAAATTACAGTCCCTACATTAATGAATTTTGATATGTTATAAAATTGGAAACATTGCTTCCGATCGTTCCACCATTTCAGAATCTCAACTCTTCCCCTTCTTTATACTCACATGAAATCGTTACATATAAAGAAAGCCCGTTAATCGAGTTATGTAAAAAGCTAAGAGTATATATAAGTTTTTCAAAAGATTAGATGTTCTTGATTTAGAAAAGTTCATTTAACCGTGGAACTATTGCGGCGGTCCAGCCCAATCTGGTACTATGCAGGACAAGACCGGGTCCATTTTTTTAGTCTCGAGTCACGACCGAGTACCTGACCACCGGCAATAGTATAATCAAGAATAATACATTGAAGCTGATTTGGTTTTAATATTTTTTTTTACTTTCCTCTAAGAAATTCGTCCTCAAATATACATGTAACTGCCAACTGGTCTATCTCGATAATTTGAGATTTTCAGGTATCGGAATTAAAAAAATATTGCAATAAGACTTTTTTGGCATTAGCATAGCAATCAGATAATATGTTCAATTCAAAAATTAACGAAATTTTATATTCAATTTCACATATTGAATGAAGAAAAAATGATTTCACCATGTATAACTAGAGGAAACTATAATAAAGATCCAATAGGCAATAGCATAACCACGTCTAAATTTCTACTCTGTATTTCACTAAAGTTTCAAATGAAATCCAACAAAAAAGAACGTAATAATGGAATGTTACCATTTAATTTGAGGATAGTGTTAGCTAAATGAAAATGGAGGTTCAAAATGGAGATGGGGACATTCTCTGCGGGAGTTCGGAAACGCAAAAAAAAAAAGATACGTAGTATTCCTCAAAATTTAAGACTAAGAGCGAGATTGATATTTTCTGTCCATCCCTACTCTCAAATGATATGGTATAATGTAGTCTAATTTCCAATTATATTCATTTTTATAAATACTACTATCTTCATCCCGTTCAAAGGTTTCCATGACATATTTTGAACATAATTAAATATATTTTTCAAACATATTTTGAAAAATAATTTTGATGAGTATACAATATATTGGGTTATTAATGATAATTGTGGTGTTGTAAATGTATTATTTTTAATCATTGATGATTAAATGGTTATTTAACAGTGCTAATTATTTCCTAAAATAGAAAGTGAGAAACTTTAAGTGGGACGTCCAAAAA